TTCCCAATGCCAAAGTTGGCACAGTGTCACGTATTGTAGTTACAGTTGCTTGGGAGGCCTAGGCAGGAGGACTGTTTGAATGAGTTTGAGACCAGGCTGGGCAACACAGCAAGACTCTATCAGAGAAAAAAAAATTGCAATGCCTTGACTATGCCCAAGATCAATTAAATCAGGATATATGGGGTGTGAACTAGATATCGTCAGCTTAATATACACTTAATATACCCCCATGAAATCCCAATTACAGTCAAGGCTGAGAACTACAGCCCTAGACAGCCATGGATCTCAATTAGAGTTAATGTAAAATTACCAATTAAATTGCAATTAGAGTTAGAGTAGAATTGCCAATGAAAATCACCTGGCCATTTTCAAAACTATATAGATGGCAAGGCCCCATTCACTGAAATTCTGATCCAGTTTTTCTGCTCTCTAGCAGTGTTTTTTTTAATTTATTTATTTTTTGTTTATATATGATAGCTGAGTGCATTGCAGTTCTTATTACACATATAGAGCACAATTTTTCATATTTCTGGTTGTATACAAAGTATATTCACACCAATTCATGTCTTCATATACGTACTTTGAATAATAATGACCATCACATTCCACCATCATTTCTAACCCCATGCCCCCTCCCTTCTCCTCCAATCCCTCTGCCCTATCTAGAGTTCTTCTATTCCTCCCATGCTCCCTCTCCCTATCCCACTATGAATCAGCCTCCTTATATCAGAGAAAACACTCGGCATTTGGTTTTTTGAGATTGGCTAAACTCGCTTAGCATTATCTTCTCTAACTCCATCCATTTACCTGAAAATGCCATGATTTTATTCTCTTTTATTGCTGAGTAATATTCCATTGTGTATATATGCCACATTTTTTAATCCATTCATCTATTGAAGGGCATGTAGGTTGGTTCCACAGTTTAGCTATTGTGAATTGTGTTGCTATAAACATTGATATGGCTGTGTCCCTGTAGTATGCTGTTTTTAAGTCCTTTGGGTATAGACCGAGGAGTGGGATAGCTGGGTCAAATGGTGGTTCCATTCCCAATTTTCCAAGAAATCTCCATACTGCTTTCCAGAGTGGTTGCACCAATTTGCAGTCTCACCAGCAATGTATGAGTGTGCCTTTTCCCCACATCCTCGCCAACTCTTCTGATGATTCAGACACACAACCCACACTGAGAAGTGCTGATCTCAGGAAGGGTAACTTCCTACGGTGGGTACTTCTAATCCTGCAGTCCTGCACCCAAGGGAAACATCACTCCTCACTCCCAGAACTCCTCCCCAGGGAGCTGGATAAGGCCGTGGGATGCTTCTCTCCTCCACCTGCCAGACAGGCATCAGTAATAGATCAGAGATGCCCATGGAATCCCCTTGGGCACCTCTGCTTTGCAGATCCACTCACTCTCAGAGCCAATGATGCCTTCGTCACACCTGTCTCTGGGCTTCCTGCCTCCACCTTCATGACATGGAAGGTCTGATGTTGTCACAGACCAACTCTGTGACAGCTGCTGAGGCTTCAGGACAATGCTGTAAGTTCATACCGTGTGTACAATCTTTAGATCTCAAGGACTTTCTGCAAACATTAACTCATTTGTTTGAAAATGGCTGGTGTTATGAGGACTAATGAGATAATATTTACAAAACACTCAGTGTTCCCAGTTGAAAGACAGTATGTTATTCATGGAAAGGCACCTTTAGAGGCCTCTGAAAATTCTCAGAGGACTTGGCTGTCTTCTTTGCTGTCACAGTCCTCTAGGGACTGGGCCAGGCCCCACCACCGCTCCTCACAGAAGGCCCAAGGTTCTGGTGAAAGTGGCCAGGTGGGACTCAGCCTTTTCCTTGGTCTTGTTTCATTACCTTGAAGTGGGGTTTCCTACTATCTTTCAGTCTCTCTTCTCTCATTTGTCTGGTGGGAGCCACACGGTCCAGCCCAGAGCAGACACGGTGACTGTCAGCTAAGCAGAGACTGAGAGCCTGGGGCTGGTTTTCAGGAGCCAAATGCGAAGTAAATCAGCACTGAAGAAGGGGGAAATGTAGAACCCAGTGCTGGTGATGAATTCAGAAGGCGGCCTCCTTTCAGCAAAGTGAGAATTCCAAGAATTTGTGTCTTCAAACAATTTCCTGTTTGTATTTATAGTTAAGTTCAAGATTTATTCGGAGTCCAGTTGTAGTCAGAAAGTTGTATCTGGCCATCTGGACACGAGTCCTCTCTATGCAAAACAAGACCCAGACGTCTTCGGAATCCACACCAAGCAGAACAGTGGCACTGAAGAAGAAAACTTCATTTCCTCAGCACAGAAGAAGACCCTGTAACAAAATGCAGAAGTACGTCTCATCTCTCCTAAGATGTGTGTTATTATTGCCCTGCGATGTACCTGAAATTAGAGTACATCTTAAAATTGAAGGCAGGTCATGGTTCAGTTGGCAGCATTTTTCTTTCCTTTTTAAGTGATTCCTAAAATAAATGGGTATGTTGAAATGGAGGCATCTTAGATTTGAGGAAATGGAGCAATATTATCACTCAAAGTTGTTGAGGGTGACATTGGAAAAGTATGTGTATTCATTGTAATGTGGCAAGTGTTTGTTTGTTTGTTTGTTTAAATCAGAGGTTCTTTACTTTAGAGGGACAGTCCCCAGTCTTTTTATTTTTTGAGACAGAGTTTCACTAAATTGCTAAGGCTGGCCTCGAATTTGTGACCTCCTGCTTCAGCCTCCTAAGTCATTGGAATTATACCACAGCCAGCAGCAACCTGATTTTTCACTTCACAGTTTGGGTGGGTAGGAAATCTAGGAGCAGTTTAGGTTCTGGCTGAGGGTCTCTCAAGAGGTATCAACTGGGTCTGCTGAAGCTGGATGAAGTTGGGTTGGAATCTACTTGCCAGATCACTAGCATGATTGTTGATAAGACACCCCAGCTCTGGACACTGTGAGCCTCTCTGCAGGGCTTCTCACAAGGCCCTCGGCCTCTCCTAGAGTGGAGGGAGAGGAGCCGAGAGACAGCCCAAGATGGAAGCTGCTGTCTTTTACACCACCCTGGAGGTCACCCATCCTTCATTCTACAGTCTTCTGTTATCACACAGACTAACCCTGCTGCAAGGTAAGAGGGGACTCCACAGGAGGCCACCATGCCTGGAGCCTGGCTATTTACAGCATCAACACACACAGTGACACAAAGAACATAAGAAGCAAACGCTGGTTTCTTTCCCATTTATGGAACGTTCCTTTTTACCTGATATGGATGCAGCTAGAAGAAAGTGTGTCCGTGCTTGGGTTTGTATTGCCATCAAACTCATCAGCGCCAACCTCTGAGGCAGCACAGCTCGGGTGGCCTCTGGAATCAAAGTGGAAGGATGTTGAAGAGAATCTTTTGTGTTTGACTCTTTCGCATGGCTGGTGCCAGATGCAGTCTGGCTTATATACAGATGGAGAATCTCAGGGCCCTAGTGTCTCTTTTGAAAGAAAGCTTAGGCCATGTTTTGCCCTTCTGCCTGTTGAGAGTGAAGCAAGAAGACCCTCATCAGACACAAAATTCTAGAACCCTGATCTTTAACTTTCCAGACCCCATACTGAAAGAAATCAGTTTCTATAGTCTATAAATTATCTGCTCTGGGATTGTTACAGCAGCACATATGCACTGACACAGATCACAAGACCAACTCACTACAGCCCTGGAGTGGGGATATTTTGACTATCCAGGCATGGGACATGTCTCTAATCCAGTGGGAAGCAGGGACAGGCCACCACTATTGGCAAACTCACCAGAATCACGTGAAATGCTGGAGGGTAGTTCTGAAAAGGAAAGAAAAACTGAATCTCAGGCAGCTTAAGCTGTAATACATGGTCACTGTGAGTATACTCTGTGGGAATACTTTCTTCCTGAGATGGAGAGAGGGGGACGTGGGAAATAGGGAGCAGAATACAGTGGTTCCAGCTGCAGTTTGAATTAAGTTGTCCTTGGTCAGAAGCATGTGTGTTCCAAGTTAGAATGCAGAAAACCAGAGCTGACGCTGAGGGGCTGCCTTGACCACACCCACCCCACTCATTTCCAGTTCCCATCCAGCCTCTGGGCAATGCTGTGGCCTTCCCAGCCTGGTGGTATTCCTAGAAATGAAGATGCAGGATCACTCTACAAAAGAGCACAGACAAGAATGAGGGCCCTGGTCTACCCCTGGCTGGGTCAAGTTCACTCCCTTCCCAGTGCACATGGCATTAGACCAGACATTTACACAGAGGATGGTGAAAACATAGGCAGGGCCTGGGTAGGGTAAATGGAAGGATAAAATACTCCAAAGGGGATTGGATGTATTTGCAATCTCAAAAATACTATATTACAGATCTATAACCTCGCTGAAAAATAAAAATGATAGAATGAAAAGATATTCAGCATTATTTTATCTTAGCCTTCCATGAGACAAGAACTTATAACTCTTCACTTTTTAGTGGGAGAGGTGCTAAGTCACTTTTCTTCATAGGCCAGTATAGAAAAAGCCTTCATGGACCAGTGTGTGAAGTTTTTCCTTAAGAGGATACAAATCAGTCAAACCAGAGAATACAAGGACAAAAGGTGGTCCTAGATTGTCTAGAGGGAGGCGGTATTAAGAAGACCCTTGGAGTTTTGAGAGCTTGGGAGTGGATGTGGAAACGACACTGCTACCAGCCCTTGGTCATCACAAGAGGATGGGAGGGAGTTCTGTAAAAAGGAGAATCCATTGCAACCCAGAGCTTCTGGGGCCAGCTGCAGGTGCGAAAGACTGAAAGAGCTAGGTTGAAAGGGCTGCCATGTTGGAGCACCTGACAGAGCTGAGCGGGAAGCCCCTGTATGTCATGAAGGACCCCTTGACTCCAGGCTGCTCAGAGCAGAGGATTTTACCATGAACCAACAGGTCCTCAACAGCGACACCGTGTGGCCTAGAGAAGTAAAGACAGCTCTGGACCAGTCATAAATTCTAAAATAAATGTTAAAAATCAATTTTATTTCTGAAAATTTGCAACTACATAATATCATCTTTTGCAGGCTTGTGGGAGGTCCAGAGAACTGCTCCCGGCCACTGACCCTGAGTTTGGCTTCATTTCCTCCTTCACTGCCTGGGATGCCAACCTGTTTTCTGAAAAGAAGAAAAGGAAGAGGGAGGACCCACATTTTGAATTTCAAACAGGACTACTCTATGGCCCTAACATTTTTCTCTAAATTCCAGCTCAAATGTCTACAATTTTTTTATGGAACTGTTTAATTATTTTAGGATCTCCTGGGAAAGTTTGGCCTGCCACTCACTGGGGAGGTCTAGTTGTTGAAATGTTTTATTCCTAGGTGATCACCACAGAATCAGTTTCTGGAAGCATTTATTAATACATCAGAGTAACACCGTGTAAATTAGTAGCTCTTTTGGCTTAGAGTGAGCTCCACTGATGTCAGGCATTTTTCTGGGTATGGAAGGTACTGTGTAGACAGCAGAGCCAGCTTCTCTACTCAGGAGGCTCCTTGAACAGATAGAAAACCACAGGGTGTTTTTAAGAGCAGAGAGGAGGAAGACTTGAGCCAATGTCTGTTGCCACCCTTGAGTCTGAGAGGCATAAAAGCACGGATACCAACAACCAAACATGAAATCAGCAACTCACTGAGAAGGCAGTTTGCTCAGGAATTTGGTGTCAGGTGTTAGAGTCAAGGCCACTTGGTTTTGAATCCCAGTTCCGTCACGTATCTGTGTGTGATCTTGGGCATCCCTCTGGTATCTTGGCTTCCTTACCTGCGAGTTGGAAAGAATATCTATCCTAAGGGAGGTTTAAGTTAGAAAACGCTGGCAAAGTACAGTGCTGGGAAGAAATCTTTGTAAGTTGAATTTTATTGTAACAATCATAATGAGCCCCAAATTTGTAGATCAATCTGACCTCGAATGCATTTTTGTTATGTTTCAAATCAGGAGTTGGCCCCTTTAATAAAAGGCTGTGGGCTTCGAACAGATGAGATTTGTGGTACTTCTCTAATTCTCTGGATCTTAACCCTGGCTGCCTGTTTGACTCAGCTGCCTAGTTTTAAAATGATGAATCCAGGGACTGAGGGGTAGCTCAGAGCTAGAGTGCTTGCCTAGCCAGTGCCAGGCCCTGGAGTGTACCTCAAGCATCAGGATTTTCAATCAGGAACTAGTGTGCAGCCGGGGTTGGGACTCGCCGACTATGGAGGGTGGGCAGAAATGTGCTTGACCACAGGTGATTGAAGAAGTCGCTGATAAAGACTTCCCCTCTTACACCTACATGAGCTAGAAGTTTCTTAGAAACTACCACTGAGAGAAGGGCATCACCTCCACCAATCAGTGCTAAAAATCATACTTCCAGCCCCCCGAGATACCCCTAGTCCCTTTCAGTACCAGTCCTGTTCCTTGGCCAGCAGCTGTGAGGTCCCTGGAGAGCTGGAGTGAGAGTAGACTGCAGAGGCCGCTGTGCCCTCATCCACCAAGAAGCTGTGGGCATTGGCGGCCCCTTCCATCTGGGCTTTGTTGCATGTGTCCTTGGAGATGAGAAGGACCTTCCTCTGTATCTGCAGGGTTGTTCCTTCAGTGAGGTTGTGTTGGCAAAGCACTTTGTAAACCATAACCTACCGACGGAACCAAATGCCCAGTGGAGAAGAGACATGATGCTTTTGAATCTGTAGAAACTGCTGTTCTGTGAATTACAGTTTCTGCTGACTGCTGTTAGTTTTTCCACCACCTTATTGCAAAACCACGATGACTCAGATATATAAACCCTATCACATTCTTAAAACAACTTGGAATACAAGTTATCACAAAAACAGTACTGCAGTACCCTATTATCTGTCCTAATCAATGACTCTCATGACAAGCCCTAGGAAAGTACCCATCTAGGGCTGGGTCTACGGGGCACAATGACTCCTCAGTTGTGGAAAAACAAGTGCTGTAATGAGTTTTTATAAATTAAATAATTTATTTGTTCTAATTTGTTAGACATGACAGCAGATGCATTTTGATTCATAGGACACAAATGGGGCACAATGTTTCATGTCTCCGGCTGTACACAAAGTAGAGTCACACCATTCATGTCTTCATACATGTACCTAAGGAATGATGTCCATCTCATTCCACCCTCTTCCCATCCCCCTGCCCCCTCCCTTCCCCTCCCTCCCCTTTGCCCTGTTGTAATGAGTTTTTGTTAAATAAATAAAAAGCACAAGGGTCCATGCAATTTTATTGAGAAAGAGGAAAGTTGCCAGGATTTAAATTAAGAGTTCTGGTTAGTGATGTAAAGGGAGTGGTCACTATTTTAAGCAGAAGTATGCCCTTCTGCATCATGGTGACTTTAGGGAATGCTTTCCTGCTCTGATCTGGACTGGTGTGATGTCATTGAGTGAGATATAGAGTTGTGCACTGTGAACATGGTGGGGAAACTAGGAGAGAGACTTTCGACATGAGGCCAGGAGGCCACTCAGGGAGAAGGACTTACACATGATTCCAGCTGCTTCCTGGGAGGGTGAACTTTGGTGACCCTGTGACTGCTGCCGCTGGAACAGACACTCTGCCCAGAGACTCGAGATGCACGCAAGAGGTCATCAGACTCATGTTTATGGGTGTTTTTTTACTAATATACATTCTCTTCTCTGCCTTCTCACGGTCACATAACTCCTGGCAGATTGCAATGTTCCTTCTCCATTCAACACACATTTCTCACAAGGAAGCTTTGCTGCTCTGTGCAGCTAACCTAACATGCACCCGCATCTTCTGCATTCTTGGGGACCCTGATTCAGAGCTATCTGAACCTGTTTCCAGCACTGCAATTCCCAAGAGCTCAAATAGAGTCCTTTTGCTGTGAGTTTCTGAGTTTGAACTGAATGATGGGTAGAATGTTGTGCTGGGAACAGCTCAGGGCACCTGTGGAGCACGCAGTGGGGTACCATGAACAGGCAGGCAGGCTGATCTCTTCATCTCCCATGGCAGAAGAAGGCTTGGAAAGTGCCAGTGCATTCCATGAAAGGTGTGTTGAGAGGCATCCCCACGCCCATACCCCACCCAGAATCGCATGACCAAGTGTGGGTCCCAGCTAACTCAACCAGGCCTGTGACTTCAGCCAATCAATTTAATCTCACTGTGCTTCAGTTTCCCTTCCCATCAAATGGGGTAATAATAGTACCTACTTCACGAAGTTCATGTGAGGCCTAAATGAGTTCATATCAGTAGGATGCTTAAGACAGAAGCTGGAACATAGTAATACCATGTCTAACTCAGCACTCATTATGTCACCTGTAATTTACTCCAAGATGCATGAGAAAGGCCAGACTAGGGGAGGGCAAGTTAACTTTCACATACGTCTTAGTGGTGAGACCTTAAACTGAAATACCGAATTTGAGAGTGCATACTCCAGGCGGCTGAGAACAGAACTTCAAATATTGTCATGTGTGCAGGAAGGGCCCAGGAAGTAAACTGATTGGTTTATTAAGAAGAAAAAAAAATGGTGACAACAGAAAAAACAACTTATAAAATAATATAGCTGCATAGTGTCCTTTACCTGAAAATACATTCATTCATTGAACAAATGTTAGGAACCTGTTACATAGCAAGCCTGGCCAGAGACTCTGGATTCACTTCTTTCTGAAGTAGATGTGAAGCACCCTTGCAGGCTCCAAAATGAGAATTGAAGAACGGATGCTCCCCAAAGAGCAACAAAGACAGGTTAGGACATGCTCTGCTATCTGGGCAGCTGAAAGGAACTGGTGAGGGGTGGGGGCATGAACAGTGGTGGGACAATTCTCCATCAGGCTCCTGACCTGGACCTGGTGACCCTTGTAGATGTCTCCCTTTGGAGACAACTTTCCCCCCACTAGATTCTTTCCTATCTTACAATAGTTTGAAGAGTGTCCCCCAAATTGACATCTAACTAGAACCTCTGAATGTGAGCTTACTTACTAAACAGGTCCTCCCAGATATGCATAGCTAAGATGATTAGTTTGATGGATGAGAGTGGGCCCTATTATGGGTTGGATCCAGAATGTCTCCCAGAGACTCCTGTGTTGAAGGATTGGTCCCCAACCCAGCAATGTCCAGAGGTGGAGCCATGGGAAAACGGCTGGATCATGAGGGAGGGCTCTGACCTCATCAGTGGATTAATCCATTGATGGACTAAGAATCTGATGGCATTTTGGGGAAGAGGTAGAAACTACAAAGAGGTGGAGCCTCGTTGGAGGAAGGCCTCTGGGGCAGTGCCTTGAAGAGTGTGTCTTGTCCCCAGCCCCTTCCTCTCGCTCTCCATCTCTCTCCATCCCTCTCTCCTTTCTGGTGGCCAAGAGCTGAGCAGCATCCCTTCTCCAATGTCCTTCCGCCATGATCTTATGCCTCACCTCAGGTTCAAGGCAATAGAGCCAGCTGGCCATGGACTGGTACCTGTAAAACTGAGTCAAAATAAATCTTTTCTCCAAAGTTGATTTTCCCAAGGTATTTTGTCACAGTGACAAAAAGCTGCCAAACACAGGCCCTAAATTCAATGAATGCTGTACTTATAAGAAGACCATGTGAATATGCAAATCGACAAATGTTCTACCATCACAGAAACAAAATCAAGGATAAAAATCACATGATCATCTCAACCGATGCAGAAAAAGCCTTTGATAAAACTCACAGGCCTTCATGGGAAAAAAAAAAAACCAGAATAAATGAGGCATTGAAGGATTGTATCTCAACATAACAAAGGCTCTATACCAGAAACCTATAACCAATATCATACTAAATGAGGGGGAAACTGATAACAATTTCTATAAAGACAATGGTGTCCCCTCTCACCACTCTTATTCAGTGTAATACTGAGAACTTTAGCCAGAACTAACAGATAAGGGACGGAAATTAAAAAAGGATATGACTAGGCAAGAAGGAAGCCTAATTATCTCTGTTTGCAGACGCCATGATTCTGTGCCTAGAAATCCCTAAAAATTCCACCAAAAATCTTTAAGAATTGATAAGCAAACTTAGAAAAGTAGCAGGAAACAAAATTAACATACAAAAATTGGTAGCTTTCCTAAACACCAATAATTAAGTCAGAGAAAGAGAAATTGGAAAAGCCATCCCATTCCCAGTAGCCTCAAAAGAAAATTGGATACCTCAGAATAAACCTAACCAATGAAGTGGAAGACTTATACAATGAAAATTTTAATATCCTGGAGGGAGAAACTGAAGAAGACACTGTAAGATGGAAAAGCTTTCTCTGTTCCTGGATTGGGAGAGTTAACATAGTTAAGATGGCCATGCTGCTGACAGTGACCTACAGATTCAATGCAGTCCCCATCAAAATACCAATGACATTCTTTACAGAACTAAAAAACAATTCCACAATTCATATGGAAGCACAAAAGACCCTGAAGAGCCAAAGCAATCCTGAACAAAAAGAATAATGCAGGAGGCATCAAAATACTTGACTTCAAAATATCCTATAGAGCCACTGTAACAACATACCATGGTATTGGCATAAAATAGAATGAAGAACAATAGAATAGAATAGGAGACCCAAGAATAAACCCATTAATTGAAAGCCACTGGATTCTCAACAAAGGAACCAAAAAATTTTATTGGAGAAAAAACAGCCTCTTTAACAAATGGTGCTGGGAAAACTGGACATCCAGAAGATTGAAATTGGACCTTTATCTCTCACCCTATACAAAAGTCAACTCAAAATGGATGAAAAAACTTACTATAAGACCTGAAGCTGAAACTACTAGAGGAAAACATGGGGAAACCCTTCAAGACATTGGTATTGTCCATGATTTTGTGAGTAGGACTCCAAGTGCATAGGAATTAATAACAGGAGACAACAAATGGGGTTATAGTAAACTAAAAAGCTTCTGCATAGCAAGAAAATAATCTACAGAATAGAGAGACAGTTTACAGAATGGAAGGAAATCTTTCCTGCCATTCATCTGACAGAGGATTAATATCCAGAATATATAGAGAACTTGAAAAAATTAACCCCCAATTAATCTAATCAAACATGGGCAAAATGACCTGAACAAACACTTTTCAAAGGAAGTAGTACAAATGGCCCATAAATGCATGAAAAAAAATGTTCAACATCTTTAACCATCAGGGAAATGCAAATCAAAACCATTGAGTTTTCATCTCACCTCAGTCAGTATGCCTCTTACCAAGAAAATAAAAAATAACAAATGCTGGTGAAGATGTGGAGAAAAAGGTACCCTCATACACTGTTGGGAATGCAACTTAGGGCAACCACTGTGGAAAACAATATGAAGTTTCCTCAAAAAGCTAAAAATAAAATGATTCAGCTACACTTCTCCTGGGTTTGTCCTCAAAGGAATCTGTGGATATACTATAGAGGTACCTACATAGCACATTTATCATGACACTACTCACAATAGCCAAGTTATGGAAGCAGCCTATATGCCCATCAGTAGATGAATGGTTCAAGAAAATGTGGTCTATACACATAATGGAGTACTGCTATGGTTTGAATGTGAAGTGTCCCTGAAAACTCATGTGTGAAACAATGCAAGAGAGTTCAGAGAGGAAAGGATTGGGTTGTAGGAACTTTAAACCAATTAGTGAATTAATCACCTGATGGGATTAATTGAGTGGTGATTGAAGGCAGGTAGGGTGTGG